ATGCCTCTAAGACTCCTCTATGACGCCTCTATGACCCCTATGACTCCTATGACTCCTCTAGGAGCCCTCTAGGAGCCCTCTATGACTCTTCCAATATGACACCTCTATGACGCATCTATGACGCTTCTATGATGACTCTGTGCCCTGTCTATGACTCCGGTATGAGTGCTGTACGTCCCCACTATGATTCATCTATGACTCCTCTATGACCTCACTATGAACCCTCTATGACTCCTCTAAGACTTTTCTATGACTCCTCTATGATACCCCTATGACTCCTACATGACTCCTCCATGACGCCTCCATGATTCTTCTATGAATTCTCTATGACTCCTCTAGACTTTATGACACAATTGCTCCTCTATGACTCCCCTATGACTTGCCTAGGACTCCTCTATGACTCCTCTATGACTCAGCTATGACTCTTTTATGAATCCTCCATGACTCCTCCATGACTCCTCTATGACCGCTCTATGACCCCTCTATGACTGGTCTATGAACTCTATATGACTCCTCTATGACTTCTCTATGACTCCTCTAGGTCTCCACTATGATTCCTCTGACTCCTCTATGACACCTCAGACTCCTCTATGATTCCTCTGTGACTTTTCTATGACTCCTCTATGACTCCTCTATGACTCCTCTATGACACCTCAGACTCCTCTATGATTCCTCTATGACTTTTCTATGACTCCTCTATGACTCCTCTATGACTATATGACACCAGAGTAACTCGATGACTTCTATATGCCTCCTCCATGACTCCTCCATGACTCCTCCAGGAATCCACCATGACAGCTATACCACTCCTCTATGACTCCACTATGACTCCTCCATGAGTCCTCCATGAATCCTTCAGGACTCCTCCATGACTCCTGCATGACTCCTTGTCCTTGGGTTCAGCAGTAGCAGTCATTTTTCTCCTTCTTGGTAGCTGGTGCAGTGCAGTGTTTTGACTTTCGGCTTGGGAACAGAGCTGATAACAAGGATGTTTTGGTTTGGCCAAGGACTTTGTGAGCCTCATGCTCTGCCAGGGAGGAGGGGAAGCCAGGAGGAAGCAGAGACAGGACACCTGACCCAAACTGACCAAAGAGGTATTCCATACCACAGCACGTCATGCCCAGGATGTAACTGGGAGTTAGCTGGAAGGGCTGGGAGACTGCAGGGTTGGAGGAGGTATCGGTCGGTGCTTGGTCGGGCTGGGGGGGCGAGTTATCAGTTGGCTGGTGGTGAGGTGATGTATTCTCTTCCCTTGTTATTTCCTTTATCATTATTATTATTGGTGGTAGCAGTAGTGATTTGTGTTATACCTTAGTTACTAAACTGTTCATATCTCAACCTGTGCGAGTTGTATTCTTTTCGATTCTCCTCTCCGTCCCTCCGGGAGTAGGGGGAGGGAAAGAAGGGGGGGAAGTGAGTGAACGAGTTACCTGACTGGGTTTAAACCACGACACCAGTCATTGGGAACTTCCCCTGACTGCCAGGATTTCTCAAATATGACGGCCAGCGACTTCGCAACTTCATTCGCCAGCTCCTTCAGGACCCGCGGGTGGATCTCACATGGACTTGTGCACATTCAGATTTTTAAGATGGTCTCGAACCAGTCCCTCTCCTACAAGACAAAACCAGCCCAAAACGACCTTGTAATGCTTCTGCTATGGGATACAGGGTCAGAGCCTCAAAACAGCCCCTAACCACGCCAAAAACACGCAAAAACCAGGTCAAAACACGCAAAGTAAAGCCCAAAACACGCCAAAACCACCCCAAAATCACCTTGTCCTGCTTCTGCTGTGGGATACAGGGTCAGAGCCCAAAAAGAAACACAAAACAGGCCAAAAAAACCTCACAAAACACCCCAAACCCACCTTGTTCTGCTTCTGCTATGGGATACAGGGTCAGAGCCCCGAAACAGCCCCAAAACAGGAGAAAAACAGAAGAAAATCACCCATAACCAGCCCCAAAACACCCCCAAACCAACCCAAAGCCACCTTGTTTTGCTTCTCCTATGGGATACAGGGTCAGAGCCCCCAAAATGGCCAAAACCAAACCAAAACACCCAAAAAATAGCCCAAAACCAACTTCTCCTGCTTCTGCTAAGAGATACAGGGTCAGAGCCCCAAAACAGACCTAAAACAGGACAAAAAAAACCCCAAACCCCTCAAAACAGCCCCAAAACGCCTCAAAACCAACTTGTACCTCTTCTCCTATGGGATACAGGGTCAGAGAGCCAAAACAGATTCAAAAGAGGCCAAAAACAACCCAAAACACCCCAAAACCAGACCAAACCCACCTTGTCTTGCTTCTGCTATGGGATACAGGGTCAGAGCCCCAAAACAAACCCCAAACCAACCCAAAACACCCCAAAAAAATGCCAAAAACCACCTTGTCCTGCTTCTGCTATGAGATACAGGGTCAGAGCCCCAAAACAGACCCAAAACCACCTTGTCCTGCTTCTCCTGTGGGATACAGGGTCAGAGCCTCAAAATAGCCCCAAAACTGGCCAAAACCAGGTGAAAACCAGGCCTAAAACCCCCAAGTAAACCCCAAAACAGGCCAAAACCACCCCAAAATCTCGTCCTGCTTCTTCTGTGGGATATAGGGTCAGAGCCCCAGAACAGGCCAAAACCAGGCCAAAAACATTCCAAAACCCCCAAAACAGGCCCAAAACACCTCAAAACCACAATGTCCTGCTTCTCCTATGGGATACAGGGTCAGAGCCCCAAAACAGACCCAAAACCGGCCAAACACAACCCCCAAAACACCCGAAAAAACAGCCCAAAACCGCCTTCTCCTGCTTCTGCTATTGGATAGAAGGTCAGAGCCCCAGAACAGCCCCAAAACACCCCAAAAACAGGACAAAACCAGCCCAGAATCACCTTGTCCTGCTTCTCCTGTGGGATACAGGGTCAGAGCCCCAAAACAGACCCAAAACAGGCCAAAAACACACCCCAAATCACACAAAAACACCCCTAAAACGGCCCAAACCTACCCCAAAACCACCTTCTCCTGCTTCTGCTATATGATACAGGGTCAGAGCCCCAAAACAGCCCCAAAACATGCCAAAAACAGTCAAAAACACCCAAAACAGCCCCAAAACACCCCAAGCCACGTTGTCCTGCTTCTGCTATGGCATACAGGGTCAGAGCCGCAAAACAGATCCAAAACAGCTCCAAAACAGACCAAAAACAGGTGAAAAACAGGCCAAAACACCCAAAGCAAACTGGAAACTGACCAAAACCACCCCAAAAATCCTTGTACTGCTTTTCCTATGGGACACATTTCAGAGCCCCAAAACAGACCAAAAACAGGCCAGAAACAACCCAAAACCCAGCCCAAAACCACCTTGCCCTGCTTCTCCTATGGAATACAAGGTCAGAGCCGCAAAACAGATCCAAAACAGCCCCAAAACAGACCAAAACCAGGCGAAAAACAGGCCAAAACACCCAAAGCAAACCGGAAACTGACCAAAACCACCCCAAAGTAACCTTGTCATGCTTCTCCTATGGGACACAGGTCAGAGCCCCAAAACAGACCAAAAACAGACCAAAACCACCCCAAAACCACCTTGTCCTGCTTCTCCTATGGGATACAGGGTCAGAGCCCCCAAATACCCCAAAACCAGCCCCAAAACACCCCAAAAGCAGACCAAAACCACCCCAAAACCACCTTGTCCTGCTTCTCCTATGGGATACAGGGTCAGAGCCCCCAAACACCCCAAAACCAGCCCCAAAACACCCCAAAAGCAGCCCAAAACCACCTTGTCCTGCTTCTCCTGTGGGATACAGGGTCAGAGCCCCAAAACAGACCCAACACAGTACAAAAACACCCCAAAACACCCCCAAACCACCTTGTCCTGCTTCTCCTGTGGGATACAGGGTCAGACTCTGAGAACAGCACCAAAACAGGCCAAAACCAGGCCAAAACCAAATAAAACACGCACAAAACAGTCCCAAAACAACACAAACCCAGCCCAAAACCACCTTGTCCAGCTTCTCCTTTGGGATACAGGGTCAGAGCCCAAAAAAAGACGCAAAACAGGCCAAAAGCAACACAGAACACCCCAAAACCCACCCCAAAAATTACCTTGTTCTGCTTCTCCTATAGGATACAGGGTCAGAGACCCAAAACAGACCAAAACCAGCCCCAAAACAGGCCAAAAACAGGTGAAAACCAGCCCAAAACACGCAAAGCAAAGCCCAAAACAGGCCAAAACCACCCCAAAATCACCTTGTCCTGCTTCTCCTGTGGGATACAGAGTCAGAGACCCAAAACAGACCCAAAAGAGGCCAAAAACATCCCAAAACACCCCAAAACCCACCCCAAAAATAACCTTGTCCTGCTTCTCCTATGAGATACAGGGTCAGAGCCCCAAAGCACCTTAAAAACAGGAGAAAACCCACCCCAAAACCACCTTGTCCTGCTTCTCCTGTGGGGTACAGGGTCAGAGCCCCCAAACAGACCCAAAACTGGCCAAAAACAACCTAAAACACCCCCAAAACAGCCCTAAACCATCTTGTCCTGCTTCTCCTAAGGGACACGGGGTCAGAGCCCCAAAAGAGCCTTAAAACAGACAAAAACCACCCCAAAACCCCAAAAACTACCCCCAAACCACCTTGTCCTGCCTCTCCTATGGGTGGCACCCAGTGAGTACCCAAAACATCCCCAAATCACCCCAACCCCCCCAAAATGGAACCTTCTGGAGGTCGCTGTGGAGCTGCTTTAGCCTGGCCTCGAGCTGCGACACCTTCTGGGGTAGGTCCAAGGCTGGGAGGGAGCTGGGGGGGGGGGTGGGGGGGTGGGGGGGTGGAGGGCAATGGGAGGGGGGGAATGGTGTGTCCGCATATTGGGGGGGTATCCCAGACCCACATGTGGGGGTCCCAGCTCCACATACAAGGGGGACAGGGGGGATCTCCATATGGGGGGGTCCCTGTACCTGATGGCGGGGGGGGCAGCGGCCTCTCCAGGGGTGGGGGCTCAGCACCGGCTCCTTGAGGGAGAACAGGGACACGGCCCTTTGCACTGGGGGGGTGGCACGTCAGCACCCCAAAACCAGCCCAAACCAGCCTAAAATTCCCCAAAACCAGACCAAAACAACCGTAATACCCCAAAACCAGTCCAAAACAACCAAAGTACCCAAAAACCAGCCCAAACCAGCCCAAAATACCCCCAAAGCCAGCCCCAAATCCCCCAAACCACCCCAAAACAGGCAAAATACCCCCAAACCAGCCCAAAATACACCAAAACCAGCTCAAAACACCCCAAAATACCCCCAAAATAGCCCAAGACAGCCAAAATACCCCAAAACCAGCCCAAAACACCCCCAAATACCCCAAAACCAGCCCAAAACAGCCCAAAACACTCCGAAGCACCCCTACAACACCCCAAAACACCTCCAAACCAGCCCAAAATACCTGCAAAACACCCCAAAACACCCCAAAACATCTCAAAACACCCACAAAGCAAACATCCCAAACCCAACCCAAAACCACCCCAAAACACCCCCGAAACAGCTCAAAACACCCCAAAAACACCCCAACCCCACTCCACAACAGGTTAACACTCCCAAAACACCCTGAAACAACCCCAAACTCCTTCAAAACACCATGAATCACCCAAAAACACCCCTAAAAGAACCCAAACCACCCAAAGCAGCCCAAAGCACCCTGAAAACCAGGCCAAAACAGCCCCTAAACTGATGAAAGAACCTGTTTGTAATAGATTTGGGTTTGGACCCTATGAGGGTTTCAATGCCTCTGTGCTGCTCTTGACAATGGGGTTTCAGCATTACAGATGGGAAACTGATAGGAGATGGGGCTTATGGGATCTACATGCATGCTGTGAGGCTCCGGGGGGGGGGGGGAATTGTAAACTGTAAATCAAAACCACGGTTAATTGCAAGCTGTAGATTGGGAGCTCTCTGTTGAGAGCAAGATGGAGCTGGTTCTTCAAGGCAATGCAGTGCAGTCCCTCTCCAGAATCCTTGTAACCCCCTTCAGGCACTGGAAGCTGCTCGGAGGTCTCTTCTCCAGCCCCAGTGTTAGCCTGGCTCTCAGCAGCTTCCTTCAAGGGGCTTCCATCACCTGCAGCAGCTCTCCTGATGTAGCACCCTCCATGGCCACAACAGACCCATGGGGCCTGATGCCCACCCCACAGCTCTGCCACTCCCCCAGCCCCACAGCTTCCACGTCCTCGCATGAGGGTACTGCTTCACCTCAATCCCAGGCATCTCCATCACTCCCAACATTCCCACTGCCCCCAAGAGCCCTGACACCCTCGAAGCATCCCATAACCCATCTGGTAATCAGAAACCCACCCCGCCCCAGCCGTCTCCATCCATCCCAGTGGCACTAAGCCACCCCAAAACTACATGGTATCCCAAACCCCAACCAACCCCAGGCATCTCCATCCCTTCCAATCCCCTAAATGGTACCCCTAAACCATTCCAAAATCCACTTTGTACCCCAAATCCAAACAACACAAGGCATCTCCAACCTAGATGGGAAACTAATAGGAGATGAGACTTATGGGATCGACATGTATCCATTCATCCATTCATCCATCATCCATCACCCATCCATCCATCCATCCATCATTCATCTTCCATCATCCATCATCCTTTCATTCATCCATCATCCATCCATCCATCACCCATCTTCCATTCATCATCCATCCTTCCATCATCAATCATCCATCCATCACCAGTCTATCATCCATCCATCCATCCATCCATCCATCCATCCATCCATCCATCCATCCATCCATCCATCCATTCATCCATTCATCCATCATTTGTCTTCCATCCATACATTCATCCATCCATCCATCATACATTCATCCATTCATCCGTCCATCCATCCGTCCATCCATCCATCCATCCATCCATCCATCCATTCATCTTCAATCATCGATCCATCAACAATTCAGCATCCATCCATCATCCATATTCCATCCATCATCCATCCATCCATCCATCATCCATCATCTATCCATCCATCCATCATCCATCCATGCATCTTCCATCCCTCTATCCATCCATCCATCCATCCATCCATCCATCCCTGGTCCACCCCTGGTCCATGGCTCCCCCTGTTCCCCCCACAGAAGACTAGCCCGGGTGATTTCCCCCCATGAGCCATCCCATCGCACAGAGGAAAGAATCCTTTAATGTGAGACTATGGTGGGAAAGGGACCTTGCATGCAGGTAAGATTCATTCCCATTGGACGTGCAGGGGTATGGGAACAAAGCACTGGAATGTGTTGCCCATCAAGGTTGTGAATGCTCCATCCCTGTCAGTGTTGAAGGCCAGGTTGGATGGATCCTTGGGTGACACGGTTTAGTGTGAGGTGTCCCTGCCCATGGCAGGGGGTTGGAACTGAGTGAGGGCCCCATCTTCTCTGCAGCTTCTGATAGTGGCTGACAGCGGGTCACCAAGTGCCCCGTGCTTATGGGGCTGCTCTGCTCCCCTAGCACCATGGATGCAGGTGGCTTCCTGCATGCAAGCCCATGGCTGCCCTCCCATCAAATGAAGCCTGCGAGCGAGCGCTGCAGGTACGTGCTGAGGCAAAGGGGCAGCCCCGTCGGTCAGCCCCCAAGGAGCTGAGCCTAACTCTGCTGCATCCCCATCCCTGCATGCTGCAGCTGCTCCCCCATTAACAGTGTCCATCAAAGAATGGGGCTTCCCATGGCAAAGGGGCTGGAGGCTCCTCCGCTGCCAAGGTCCACCTGGAAATGCACAAGAGCAAGCTCTGGGGCTGCTTGCGGGGATGGATCCATCAAAGCATAGGAAATGCAGGAAGATGCTCAACCTCTCCAGCTCACATTCCCACTTTAGGGCAACGCAGCTCCCAAAGCTGCCTTGCTGTGACATCACCCATCACGTATGACGTCACAAAGCACCGGCGCTTACATAACGCAGCCGGGTATAAAAGCAGGCCCGTCGCTGTGTCTGGGTCAGGAGGGAAGAGCTCTGCGAGCGGTTGGGTGTCATGTCCATTTGATGTCATTTTGTGCCGTACGGTGCCGTACTGTTGCGTACCGTACCGTGCCCTACCGTGCTGCGCCATTCCGTACCCTGCCCTACCGTTTTGTGCTGTGCCGTACCATTCCGTGCCGTACCGTACCATGTAATTTCATTTCATTTCATTTCATTTCATTTCATTTCATTTCATTTCATTTCATTTCATGTCCATTTGATGTCATTTTGTACCATACAGTGCCGTTCTGTACCGTACTGTGCCGTACCGTGCCGCGCCATACCGTACCATGCCCTACCGTTTTGTATCGTGGCGTGCCGTTCCGTACTGTACCGTACCATATAATTTAATTATATGTAATTTCCTTTCCTTTCCTTTCCTTTCATGCCCATTTGATGTCATTTTGTGCCGCACGGTGCAGTACCGTTGCGTACCGTACTGTGCTGTTCAGTGCTGCGCGATACCGTACCCTGCCCTACTGTTTTGTACCGTGCCGTACCGTTCCGTGCCGTACCGTACCATGTCATTTCATTTCATTTCATTTCATTTCATTTCACTTCATTTCATTTCCATTTCATGTCATTTTGTGCCGTACGGTGCCGTACCGTTGCGTACTGTACTGTGCCGTACCGTGCCGTGCCATACCGTACCATGCCCTACCGTTTCGTACCATGTCGTACCGTTCCGTACTGTACCGTACCATATAATTTAATTATATGTAATTTCCTTTCCTTTCCTTTCCTTTCCTTTCCTTTCCTTTCCTTTCCTTTCCTTTCTTTTCCTGTCCATTTGATGTCATTTTGTGCCGTACGGTGCAATACCGTTGCGTACTGTACTGTGCCGTTCCGTGCCGCGCGATACCATACCATGCCCTACTGTTTCGTGCTGTGCCGTAACGTTCCGTGCGGTACCGTACCGTACCATGCCATTTCATTTCATTTCATTTCATTTCATTTCATGCCGTACCGTTGCGTACTGTACTGTGCCGTACCGTGCCGCGCGATACTGTACCATGCCCTACCGCTTCGTACCATGCTGTACCGTTCCGTACCGTACCATACCATATAATTTAATTATATGTAATTTCATTTCATTTCATTTCATTTCATTTCATTTCATTTCATTTCATGTCCATTTGATGTCATTTTGTGCCGTATGGTGCCGTACCGTTCCGTGCCGTACCGTACCATGTCATTTCATTTCATTTCATTTCATTTCATTTCATTTCATTTCATTTCATTTCATTTCATGTCCATTTGATTTCTTTTTCTGCCATACCGTGCCGTACCGTTGCGTACCAGACCATGCTCTACCGTGCCGCGCGACACCGTACCATGCCCTACCGTTTCGTACCGTGCCGTGCCGTTCCGTGCTGTGCCATACCGTACCATGTCATTTCCTTTCCTTTCATTTCATTTCATTTCATTTCATTTCATTTCATTTCATTTCGTGCCGTACCGTTCTGTAGTGTACTGTGCCGTACCGTGTCGCGCGATACCGTACCATGCCCTACCGTTTCGTACCATGCCATACCGTTCCGTACGGTACTGTACCATATCATTTAATTATATGTAATTTCATTTCCTTTCATTTCATTTCATTTCCATTTGATGCCATTTTGTGTTGTACGGTGCCGTACCGTTACGTACCGTACCGTGCCCTACTGTGCCGCACCATTCTGTACCCTGCCCTACCGTTTCATACCTTGCCGTACCATTCCGTGCCGTACTGTACCATGACATTTCATTTCATTTCATTTCGTTTCATTTCATTTCATTTCATGTCCATTTGATGTCATTTTGTGCCATACAGTGCCGTTCTGTACCGTACTGTGCCGTACCGTTCCACGCCATACTGTACCATGCCCTACCGTTTTGTATTCTGTCGTGCCGTTCCGTACTGTACCGCTCCATATAATTTAATTATTTGTAATTTCATTTCCTTTCGTTTCCTTTCATTTCATTTCCATTTGATGTCATTTTGTGCCGTACAGTGCCGTACCGTTGCGTACCGTACTGTGCTGTTCCATGCCGTGCGATACCATACCCTGCCCTACCGTTTTGTACCGTGCCGTACTGTTCCGTGC